TCGGCATTCTCATCTGTTGTCATTATGGTGCAACTTTACAGGGTTGTCGGTAGGGTTACACAAGGTGATGTGCGTGTGGTACCCAGCATAGAGCTTGGCACCTAGAAGGGGCTCTCCAACAGTCACCAGCACAAGAATGGCCTCGCCTTGTGGCCGCACCCACAGGAGGGGGTGGAGTACACGGTATGAGTGGCATTCAGTAGGTTCTCCATCTATGCTTGGCGAACTAAACTAGTGTGGTGACTAAGAGCTTGGGGATTTATCATAAACCACAGCTGACTCATTCCCACACTCACTTCAGCTCCTATCTCCAACCCACATCCAGATGCCAGGACCTCACTCGAGAGGCAGCAGGGAGACACCTGTGAGGCTGGCTCAGCCACTCAGCACAGCTCAGAACTATAAACATCCTGACACTTGCAGGCAAACATACCTCCCAACAGCTGTTGTCCGAATACAGGATTAGCCAGGATGTGTGCAAGGACCAGCTCCTCTCTGCTGAGCTTTCCTCTGATACCCCCAAACCAAGCAACCTGCTTGTCATCCTTCATTTCCAGCCCCACCCCACCCATTTATTCAACAATACTTACTCTGTAGAAATCCCTTCTACCACTTTCCTACCAGATTGTCTCCCATCCCAGCTCCTTTGGGACTTTTCTTGGGCAAGGCAGACTGTTCTATAGTTAGATAGTTGCTTATACAGGAGCAAAAGATGACTTCCTAGAACTTCTGCTGTGGATCCCAGCTCTTTTCTCTGGAGTCACACAAAGAGTTTATGGCCATCCTTATTCTACCACAGTACCCATTCCTAGAAAAGTAAATCTGCACTAATTTACCTCTAAGTAAAAATCTGGCACTTGTCTTCATAAAACATTACACCAAGTGAAAGAAGCCAGATGCAAAAGGCCACCTACTGTATAATTCCAGGTGCATGAAATGCCCAGAATAGGCAAATCCATAGAGACAGAAAGTGGACCAGTGATTGACTGGACCTGAAGGGAGGATAAAGCGGGAGTGGCTGTGAATCTATGTGGGGTTTCTTTTAGGTGATGAAAATGTTCTGGAATTAGAGGTGATGCTTACACAATCCTGTGAATATACTAAACGCCACTAAATTATATGCTGTCAAAGGGTGGATTTTATGGTAGGTGAATTATAGCACGATAAGGAAAAGGAAAACTTAATAAAACAGCCTGTGGACTGAGATGGCTCCTACCAGCCATGTCTTCTCAGCCCTGTCCCACCCACTGCCTCTGTGCTTCAGGCAATGATAGGAATTGGTTCCATCCCAGTGTTCACCACTTATGGGGTTGTGGCTTTGGGTACGTTACTTAACTTGTCACAGCCTCTTTCCTCATCTGAAAAGTGGATTTTTGTGAGAATAACTTAATGAGATTTTGTATATAAAGTGCTTGGCTCAATGCCTAGAATATTAAAAGTTCCCCAGTAGATGTAAGAAAATAAAGTTGAGGAAATTAATCAACCTTGCCCCTTGGTCCCTCTATCTTTTTTCTCCCAAGGTACTGCCCCCTCAAATGCCCTCACTTTCTTGTTCTTCTGGAACCCCTGATCAGCAAACCCGGGGTCAACCTAACATCCATTTCCCCTGTCCTGCCTTCAGGCTGCAGGAGAAAATCACAGAGCCGTGTGGGCTGAGCCAATGTGAAATCGTGGTCTCTCTAGGCAACGGAGCCCTCACAGGGGACCAGCAGTCATTTCCTGGTCATCTCTACTCAACGTCTATGCTAAAGCACCACTCACACCTCATACTACATCGTCCAACCCAACACTTTGAGCAGATAACCTCGCCTCCCACCTTACTGAGCAATGTCATGTTGCCAGGCCAGAGCTCCTTCAACGTTCTGCCCCTGTTACCCCCATGAATGTTTCAATTCCAGCTCTCAGTCGCACCTCCTCTTTCCATTCAAGGTCAATCCTGATATCTGTGTTTTGAATTTCCTCCTCGTCCAGGCTTTCTAAAATCTTGTTTTTGTCAGCAGCCCCCTTTCCCTCCTGTATTTACGAGCTCTCCCTTTCAGTGGACTCCCTCTTTATGTGTCTAGTCTCCCATCACCTCAACATTCTGTCAGCTGTGAGCCTCTCTCTTCTCTGATGGGATAGAACCTCATCCCCATTCTCACCCCAGTGAAGGGCAGTGAGCCTTCTACTCCCAGCTGTCTGCTGAGGACCACTCTGGCAGAGATGGTCAATTTATTCTTAGCTGTAAAATCCAGCTCTCGTTCTTCATCTTACTTGACCTCAGGGTGGATAGGGGTTTATACTGTTTCCCACTCCTTTCTTCTGGGAACTTTCTTTTCCCTTTACTTCTGGAGACACATTCTCTCCTGTTTCCCATCTTGTCTCTTTGGCCACTCCTTCCCGGTCTTACGTTTACATTTGCTTTAAATGCTGGGATTTCCTGCATCTCTCCTCTCTTTACACAGACTTCCTGGGTGAGCGCATCCTCACCCATAGCTTCAACCACCACCCACGTGTTGGTGTCTCCCAAGTCGAGCGTCTCTGTCCACATCTCTCTCCCGGGTTCTAGACATATTTCTACTAACGTGGATCATTCCATTGGATTTTCTCAGACACTTGAATTCAACATGTCTAAAGTAAGACCTACACTTTCACCAGCACACTGGAGTCTCCTTTTATACTCCTTTTCTTTTTTTTTTTTTTTTTTTTTTGGCCACACCCCACAGCACGCAGAACTTCCCCAACCAGGGAGTGAACCCGCACCCCCTGCAGTGGAAGTGCGGAATCTTAACCACTGGACCACCAGGGAAGACCACAACCCATTTCCTCAATGGTGACTATGACTTAAACCTTCATAAGCCAGCCAATGAAAACTAAGGACAGGGACTTCCCTGGTAGTGCAGTGGTTAAGAATCCACCCCTGCATCGGCAGGCGGACTCCCAACCACTGCGCCACCTGGGAAGCCCTATACTCCTTTTCTTGATGAATGATAACACCTGTCTCGTTCCCTGAGACAGAAACCTGGGGGTTCTTTCTGACTTCTCACTTTACCTCGCACACCGACTGGTCTGTGACCAACCCCTGTGGTGTCTGACCATTTGCCTCACATCTTTTCCTTCTTGTCTGTACTCACTACCCAGCAGCCTCATCATCTGTCCCCTGGTCACCTCCTAACTTGTCCCCCTATCTCCCTTCGCACCGTCTTCCCGTCAACTCTCTATGTTGCTTTCCAGATGAATTCTTGCTTGATTCCACCTTGTTTCAGAATAAAGTGCAGGTCCCTAAACATGTCACACATGACCCTCCAGAGAAGGTGCTTAATAAGTGTTTGTTGCTTTGTTGAGTGAATGTGAGATGCGTGTTAAAGAGCTCTGAAGGCCCCCATGGAGATGAAAGCTGCCCTAAGCTAGGAAGGTCATCAGCTGGTGGTTAAGAGCAGGAAATTAATTCCTGCCTGGGCTTAATGCTGGCTTGACCCCTTACTCACTAGATGTGTGAGTCTGGACAAGTCATTTACCCCCTCTCACTTTAACCATCTGGAAAATTAGGATTAAACGAGGTTTGCTATTGTCAAATGAAGTAATGCTTGCAAAATGTATGGCAAAAGAGTTCAATAAACATTACCTATTATTGTAAAGCTGCCTTTTCTGTACAGTTCCAGAACTTAAGATACCATTGAAGGCAGGTAAGTTTGTTCTTTGGCCTCCTCCTTTTTCTTCTCTTATTCAGTAGGGCTCTCAGCATGAGAAGTTGATACTGGCCACCTCTGCCTTCTTTTCCACTCAAGAGCTAGTATTCCAAATTATCACCCAAACTCCATACTCCATTGTCAAACCCATGTCTTTAGCAGATAACTTTGCCTCACACTCAGGGAGCCATGTCCCATTACTAGGCATGACCGCCTTCAGCCTTCTCTTACAACACCCATGAATGTATCTATTTCTGCACTCAGTCTTCCCTCCCTCCCCTCCGCGCTCCCACTCAAGGTAAATCCTTCTATCTGAGCTTCAAATTCCACCTTCTTCCAAGCTTCTGGGACTAGAACCTTGTTTTATCAGTGACTTCCTTGGGTTCCAGAGCCTCTTTTCATGGCCCTAGCCCTAGATGCTCCCTCCCTCATCTCACCTTGTTCCTGGGTTTACCTTACTCCTGATCTCTTGCTTAGTCTCCCATCCTTGGCCATGCACTTAGGCCTGGATGTAAATAGTTGCTCCAGTGTTGCCTCTTGATTCTCAACCTTGGCCACAGTTTTATCTCCACTTGCTCTGCTCGTAGATACAGCTTCCAGGTCCCTAATCCAGTTCTCATCAGCCCTGATTCCCTACCAACTCCCATAAAAGGCATCAGAGGGTTTAGATGACATTAGAATTGTATGAACGACACTTCTCATGAAGTTTCCCCCATCTCAAGTTCAAATTAAATGTCATAATATTAAATTTCTAGCTATTATGTTGAATCCTGACAAGTAAGAGGACCTGCTTATAACTTTGAGAACTTTTATAAAGGGAAGCTTAAAAGTGACCAACTTAGCTTGGAAGATACAAGATAAGTGGGAGGTCATCTTCCTAAGATCGTGGGAAAGTTGGACATGAGATCAAGTTTAATCAACTTCAGTAATAAATTAGCAAACAAAATATCTTTCATACCCATTCCTTTGCAGGCTTTGTTCAGCCTTTTGGCATCTCGATCAGCATCAAAACTCTGATGACCTCTCGCTTTGGCCTAGAAAAAAATAATTGAAAAGGTTGAGTGGACAGTATAGGCATTTAATAATGATCTCTGGCTGAAGTTGGCAGCTAACGGGAAGACCAAGCAGTCATCCAAACGAGGGACCAGCCGCCGCTTTACACATGGGTACATGTGGAAATCAGCTGGGGAAACTCTGGCCCCAGAGAGATGGCTGGTGCTCCCTGGAGCCAGCTGGACTTGCATGACCACGGAGAATGGCCCCCTCTGTTCTCAAGGACAATCAGCCCGGCCAACTCGGGGAGAAGTGATTTTCATATTAACCCCACCTTTGTGTGTCTGTCTCTGAAACAGAGAGTAATACAGTGGACCAATGTCCTGGAATGCTGGTTTTCAACCTTCTCCACGAGACACAATATGTCTAGAGAATAGGTGTTGGCCAGAAGCTGAGGATTCTAGGATCTTATTACAGATCCATTTGACAATCTGGGCTAAAAGCTTTACCATTCACACAATGAGAGACATAATATTTAGTTTGCCAGAGATAAACCTATGGACCAGCAATAGCAGAGTTATTGGTTTTTACCGCTCCTGGGGGAGAAAAAGTTCTGTATATATACTAATGTTTCCCATACTTCAGTCATTGGCATAATACATACACTGAATGTCCACAGCTATCTATGTCTACATTATTATTATTTGCTTATTATTTTTCCTTTAATTGACCTACTTTGTTTTTGCTTAAAGTTATTTTTCAAAAAGAAACTTTCTATTAGCACTGAAGTGGAAAACCAGTGTTGCTTACCTCAACAAAAGGTAAGCATAAAAATCAATGCATGGCTATTAAAAATTTACAAGATGTGGGCTTCCCTGGTGGCGCAGTGTTTGAGAGTCCACCTGCCGATGCAGGAGACACGGGTTTGTGCCCCAGTTCGGGAAGATCCCACATGCCACGGAGCGGCTGGGCCCGTGAGCCGTGGCCGCTTAGCCTGCGCGTCCGGAGCCTGCGCTCCACAGCGGGAGAGGCCACAACAGCAAGAGGCCCGCGTACCGCAAAAAAAAAAAAAAAAAAAAAAAAAAATTTAAAGATGTGAGGTTAGTTGCAGTCATGCAATGAGTAGCTTTGAACACACCCTGTATTTTGTCTTTGTCTTTGTCTTTGTCTTTCCTCACAGAGATGGTCTTTGATGACATATGCCACTTATTTGCCATCCTTCAGTGAAGGCTGGTTTAAGTGCTACTGTCTACACTCCCCGATTTCCCTGTCCCTCCTTTCATTTATTTGGGCACCTATTGCGAATGAGCAGTAAACCACATAAAGCTCAGAGGATGAGTTGCATTTATCTGCCTGGTATCCCTACGTCCTTTGGGGGACTTCCCCTCCCCCATTTCATGTGGTCTCACGGGGCGGGGGGGATGTCAGTCATGAAGCTTGATTCCCATCGTCCTGCCCTTGGGTGGACACACACCCTGTCACTCTGGTACTAGTGACTGGTTCAGGAGTGGGGATGTAATCCAAGCAGGGTCAATTAGAGTTTTCCCTGGGTTGATATATAGATATTGAGAGAGAGGTGTCTCTGCCTGCTGGGTTTGCTAAGCCAACAGAGTGTGAGTATAGAGCTGTTGGCAGCCATGCTGTCCACTGCATGAAGGAAGCATGGGTTCAGAATGAAGCAAAGCAAAGACAAGAAGGGTGGAAATAGGGAGAGAGAGAAAGAGAGAGAGAGAGAGAGAGAGAGAGAGAGAGAGAGAGAGAGAGAGAGAAAGATTGAGGTTGAATAACTATGGGCTGGAGGAAGGCTGGCTTCTAGGTTTTGGTTAATGGAGAATCATATAATCTTAAGAGCCAAAGGGATCTCAGGGCCCCCATCACCCCACTGCCTTTTGGAATGTAGTCCATCGGCCCATCTTGAAGTATCTATTCCTGAAACAAGCTGGGAGAGGGACTCATATTTGTTGAGCGCCCGCCATGTGCCCGACTTCATCATTGACAGATCTTTCTTCATTATTCACAGGGAAGGTAGGCGTTTGTTGTCTGCTTTACAGAGGAGGAAGCCTGGATTCAGGCGGGTTAGGGAATTTGTCTGTGGTCTTGCAGGATGCAGGTTTGCACCAGCTCAATCTGCCTCCTAAAGCTCATGCTCTTGGGTCCCGTGCACCATCCTGCCTCACACTCTAATTATGACTGGGGCCTTTGTGTTCGGCAGAGCGATGGCGTGTCCCATGTTCCTTTCCCAATCTTTTGTGGGCTGTAAGAAGGCTATCTGGTGCTTCTGAAGGCTTGTTGGGAGGACCAGAGACGTAATTTGTGGGGCTCAGTGGAAAATGAAAGTGTAGGGCTCCTTGTTCAAAAATAATTAAGAATTTCAAGATGGTGACATCAGAGCATTAAACGAAGAGCGGGGCCTTTCTGAGCGTGGGGCCCTGTGCGGCTGCACAGGCTGCACACTGACCAAGCCCACCCTGCCTTTTGATCACATTCTAAAAGGGCTGGTTCTCTGGGTGTGGGAGTGTGGGAAGTAGCAATCTCAAAGAAGTAAATTGTGTCTTTGCTTTTCATTAGGAGTATTAGGTGCGACTCAGGAAGTGAGATAGAGTTAAACCGGAGCTGCAGAAATCTCGTGACAGGCTTCATAAACTATTCTGTGTGTCATTTTAGCCTCGTCGGTACAAGAGTTTGGTGGACTTATTATCTATCCCACTTCACAACTGACAAGTTGGAACAGAGAATGGCTGTGAACTTGTGAATGGCTGTTCAGGTTATGCCCGGCCTGAGGGCAGTGGGAGCTGGGTCCTGCTGCGGATACACTTGCCGAGCTCTGTGCTGGCTGGGCTGCTTCTCCCCCAGAGGGATGCTTTTTCCTCATTTGCTCAAAGATGCTGTCAGGGCTTGCAGAAGCCATGAGGAGACTTGGTTAAGATCACCTGGCTAGGTAACAGCTGAATCGGAGCCAGGGCTCGAACCAGGACTGTCTGACTGTCAGGTATGAAATGACGTTCCCTCTCTGTTTTAGCAAGATGGTTCCATGATACAAATATCATAGAGTTATAAGAGCAGAGGGATGGGAAAAGGACCCTCCGAACATATCCAGTTTGTTTATCCAAGGCCAAAAAATGAGTAAAAATAAATGTCTTTTAGTCCAACATAATAGTAATGTCTGGTGGGGTGCAGTGGGAGAGGGTTGAACCCCATGTTAGGAATAAAGATGATATTGAGACTTAATTTTTTCCTTTTTTGCTTTACAAATAATGCAGCGTAGAAGTCTCTATCAGATGCATGACCCTCCGCAGGGCAGGTTGAAGTCACCGTCCCCGTCTAGGAATGAATGACTCTTAGCCATCCCCATGTTGATTAGCTTTCCTTATCAGAAGAGAATTCCAGCTTGTTCCTAGTAAGAGCAGGATATTTGATGTCAGAGGGAAGGAACCATGTGACGTGATTTAAAAAGGAAAGAGAGAAAAAGAAAACAGTCTGTGTGGAAGGAATCTTCCCCTTGGCATGGCTGGGACTGTGTCTACAATGGATGCATTCATCAGCGATGGCCAGTGTTGATGCAAGGGGTGTCCTTGGCTTGTTCCAATGATCTGGGTAACGAATTTCTCGGGAATATACACGGAGAGGACATTCCACCTCCATTGTTCATTGTTAGTGGGCCAGGCAGCTGACTTCGGGGCCTCGGGCCTGTTTGCCCATCAGGAGACTTTGTGTTTGAAACCTGAGGCCGCTGAACAGAACTTCCATATAAAGCAGGTCTGCGGGAATGTGAGTCAGACACAGAACGGGGGTGCAGGGGACTCCAGGATGGGGACAGAGGGTTCAGTTTGTGAGGGTTGAGGCAAATACACATTAAAAAAGACATGATGTTAGATGTTAATAAAAATGATTATAGGGCTTTGCTGGTGGCACAGTGGTTGAGAGTCCGCCTGCCGATGCAGGGGACGCGGGTTCGTGCCCCGGTCCGGGAGGATCCCACATGCCGCGGAGCGGCTGGGCCCGTGAGCCATGGCCGCTGGGCCTGTGCATCCGGAGCCTGTGCTCCGCAACGGGAGAGGCCACAGCAGTGAGAGGCCCGCGTACGGCAAAAAAAAAAAAATGATTACAGAGTCTGGGTTTGAGCCCACGTGGATCTAAGTTTGAAGGTGGTCCTGCCCCTCAGCAGTCATGTAAAGTTGGGCCATTTAAACTCTAGGCCACCATTTCCTCATCTGTAAAATGGGGGCATTGTCTGCCTTCTGAGATCTGAGGCTTACGTGAGATAACATTTCCAATGCCAGATATTTAGAGGAACCACAGACAAGCTTGTCCTGCCTCTGCTGCTTTGGGCCAACTCTTGGGTTTTGTCTTGTAGTGATATTTAGGGTTTTGATTCTGTGTATTTTGACTTGACAAATTTGGAAGGTATACATATGGAAATATACAGACATCTTCCAAACTTGATATTGTGAGATTCTATCCTCTATCTATTTATCTATCTATCCATCTATCCATCTGTCTCGCAATGCCCCAGACACCATGTTTATAATAGGTAGCCACCGAGGATATAATAGTCAACTTTAAGAACATAGGTTTCTAGTCAGACTAGATTTGAATCCCAGCGGTACTGCTTATTGCTTCTGTGACCTCGGGCAAGTTTGGGAACCTTTCTGTGCTGTGGTTGCCTCATGGCAAAATGCAGATAATAATACCCCCTATCTTATAGGTCTCTTGTGAGAGTTTCAATGAAGTCATTCATGCAAAACATCTAAAATGAGGCCTAGCAGAGGGCACGTGCTCAATAAATGTAAACAGTATTTGTTGAAGGCAGATCAGTAAGGACCTTTCCAGAATACTGCCTGAGGGGTTTTCACCTTGTAAATGGCACTCTGAGAATCAGTTTTTCATTCATCGCCTGCAGTTGGGATCCAGGCATGCATTTCACCCAGGGCAGTAAAATGGTTAAAAATTCAGGCTCTGTGGAGTCCAGGTGATCTGGGCTGACACTGCAACACCATATTCTGGCCAGTGTGCTAATTTGCACCCCTGGGTGTGAGGGTCC